ATAACCTTTGGAATGCTAAAAAGCTTAGAAGTACCTTGAGCATCTCCATTCTCAACATCCTTTTAACGCTTTTTCAGGGAACTTTACCGGATTGTTTCTGTCCCTCGGGCCACTCCTCCTTTGCTGCCTTCGATAATTTGAAGCACTTTTGCAAAAGCAGTCATCTTTGATCCCATTTTATGCTTTTTATCTCGTTGCAATGAGGGATGAGGGTATGTTTCGTGTTGGCAGCTCAGCAGTGCTCTTTGCCCTCTGACAACTCCCAACACGACGAGCGAGACGTTCCGTTCACCCTCTCATTCCATTTGCTATTACTCTCCCCTCATTCTCTTCTCGGGGTGAATCTAATTCATTGCGGTTGTCGAGAGGCGTCGCCGATGCATCATTACTCTACTACAAACACATGTTCGTTTACAAAGTGGTTTGAATCACGTCGTAATTAGTCTTCGTCACCCAAGCCTTCGTACACTTCGGTCGGTGGTATTACACGAGTAGAAGTTGGAATTGATGATGGGAATCGGGCCAGGCTGTTCGCTCACGAATCCCTCCAGAAATCCACTTTTTCTTCTTACGGGATTGATTGAATCCTTGTGCAGGGTGGTCCACCCTACTTGCAAATTCAGCAAAAGTGATTAGCCATTTTCCTCTTGAGTATGCATGATGGTAGATATTTACGAGCGACTTCCTCATTTGCGACGGCGAGCTTGGGTGACCAAAGCTCATATTGGCTCACCTATCAGCTATAACCCGAGTACTCTGACAAGTATCCAACCAGCCGTCGAATTTCCCATCGCTATCACAACTGCTGTAGGAGCTCCAAAAATCCAGAGAGTCCAGAGATCTTCCTTGACCCGAAAAAGTGGAGCCCATGTATCTGTCTTTCCTGGTAATTCCGAGGGGTCGACAGGTATATGTAAATGTGAATTTGCAAAACCTATGTATTTGTAGCTTTTCAAAGACTCTTTACCTTGAACCCATTGCTGCGAGTAGGTTTCCAAGCAGCTGAAAACTGATTCTTCAATTCTCCTTCCGAACTCTATCAAAGTCAGTGGCAACTCGAAATTATTCTCTGAAAAATTCAGACCTGGTCGCCCCTAGAGCAGGAAGCAGTTGGCAACATTGGTTTTGCGAAATACGTCTTGGAAGGAGGAGACTTCAACAAGAATCATCAAAAAATAGAGGGATTCCGGAAACGGTTTCTGACATTTGACCAGCTGTTGCTCACACTTTCGACGAAGTTCTTTGTCATGGTAAGGCATATAAGCCATCACGGGCGCCAAAGTTGCTTCCCAAATACTTTCTAGGAACTGCCCTGTACCCTAGTCTGCAGAGCTACCCTGAACGTAAGCTATTTTTTTGAAATTCGTTGAGACTGTAAATGGCAATGTAGACTAAATATTACGTAATCACAAAACCGCTCAATCTTATTCCAACTCATCCATCTGGTCTCCATCGAAATGGAGCCCCTGGCCTACCAGATCACCTCTGATTAGCGCTTCTTCTCCACCTGCAGACCTGTTTAAAGGTTGTGGGGACGCTTCAGTGTATCTATGTGAACCGCTATTGTGTGATTCCTAACCCTGCTCAGCCCCTCGGAGAGCCCCGAGGAAGGTGGGGTTTAATTCCCATCAAGGAGACTGTTTGTTAGTGCAAAAGCATTCAGCAACCTCAAAATTTTCGCAAAACTTGGACCTCCTTGAGCTTCGCCGTTCCGACTATCTGAAGAAAAGTATTCTTGGCTTCCTTCCCTATAGATGGAGCATTCATCCTAGCACCGCTTTCTTTCTTCACCAGAAAGATGACATCTTTGCAGCAAAGATACGGTACTTCTAGTTAGCGGGCTCAGCGAGGAAGTGAAAAGACTCTGATCCCTAATTGACATGCAAAAGAACTCTTCATTTGGAACGAACGTTCCTAATCGAATTGGCTGGGGATGAGTTCAAAATTCTCTACGTCCTCCCATTCTTCGCTCCGAAGACCTCAGAGTTCTGATGGCGTACTGGACTGATAAGCGGTGCAAAGAGCTCCGCAGATAGCTACTTACCGTCAATGATCGCCTGTATACCGGGCCATTCAAAGACTAATTACCCTAAACTAACACTCTGTGAGCCTATTACCTCTAGGGCCCCCTTAGCAAGTGAAAACCTACTTCTTCCATTCCCAACTGAGTTCACACACCTACACTCCTGAACTCGAATGGTGCTTGGGAAAGGTTGCCACCCCAGCTATCATCCCGTCGTTTGATCTGTTAAATGCATTCGGCGGATTCACCAGGCACGTCCTAAACCCATTTCCCAGGGGGAAAATCGGAAGGGAATGCGGTGAATGGGCAGGTTTGCAGTATGTAGCTCGATGGATGCTGTGCTCGATAATTCAATTTGGGGGCTTGCAGAAACCGAGTTCTCCTCTCATTCTCACTTAACAAAGCGAAAGTTCGTTTCAGTTCATCATGACGAAGTCGTCAAACGACGACTCCTACAGCTCTCCTTATCGCTTGTTATTTCACTTTGAATTGGGATTCCCATGAAATACTTCTCATCTATAAAATTACTCAGGAAAACGTTTCGATAGGAGTTCCTTCTAAAAATGGTTCTCCAACAGGAAGCTTTTGACTTCTTTTCCAATTCTCCAGGAACTAACCCACCTGTCTTCGCTCTACCTTTTTAATTGGATAAATTTTCTGCATTCACTACATCTCGGGATTCTACGGTCTTTTAGGATTCGGAGAATCTCAGTGAATGCAGAGCCGCTTTATACAATGCAGGCCCTTTAAGTTCTGCATCGCGAGTGGGTAGTAATTAAAACAAATAGAAAAGTTACAAAATGAGGAAAATGACTGGTTGATCACGGCGTGACAACCAAGTCATTGCTTGAGCCTAAATTAAAGCACACCCATCAGGTTAAATGAAAAACTGTGTAATTACTTGGAGCAAAAGCAGCGACTTGTATTTTACGCTGTTACGATGCGAAATACATGTCAATTAACAATATACCACATATACTCTTAATATAAACTCCTGAAGGACAAAGTCTTGGGGCGTCAATCATCCCGCTTCCCGCCTGAAGAAAGCGCCCATAAATTCAAGAATCGTAGTGGCGTACTAAATGCGTATGTGACCTGTACAATGAATTGCTGTGGCCAGCCGATGTACAAGTCAGTGTCTTTATCTTCCCAGGCGAGTCTGGTACCAATTAACCGACCCCGGAGGCATGGAAGGCTTGGCTGACCTGGGTGGAAATCGATCCGGGATTCGAACCCTATCCCCTAGATATATTCAAAATGAAAACGGATACGAGAGGGTCCAGCATATTCCCACATGTGGCTCACGAGGAGCTGAACCAGGGCTATAACATGTCAATCACAGAATCATGGGTTTGGAGGAATTCTACTACCATCCTAATATGGTCCTTGATCCTGTCCAGTCGCATTTTGTCAGCTCTCCATTAAGTAAGTTGACGAACTAGATTCTAATGGGTACGTACATTGACTTCTATATTGGTCCACTAGCAGTTTGGATTATTTTAGAAACCTATTGCAAGTATGGTCCTGAACGTAGAACAACACCCAAATACACAGTAATCAGGTGCTTTTCATGCGATTTGTTATGAGTATTGGTAATAACAAAGCGCCGAGACAGTTGTAGGTGCATCGAACAGCAAAGTGATCCTCCTAGCGTTACGGTAATGTTTTCATGCCCTTCTCTCTCTGAACCTTTTCACGCATTAGCTCTTAATGAGTTTCTTGTAAACATGATCTTCAGTGAACCTAGTGATTAACGAGGAAACACTAGCTTTGCGACTCTGTGAAAGATGTTGTCTGCCTCTATCCCCGCCTCAGGTCATTGGAATCGAGGTTTTCGTGAAAAACCTAATAAAGTGCATCTGGACCATCAGTTGGTCTGAGTCTTGAAATATTTCAGTCGAACCAGTGATCATTCAAAAACCGCGCAGTGAAAGTACCTGGCGTATCCTTGAAAAGTTCTTGCTCCATTGCAGAAAATCACAGCCAATTCCATAACATTTTTGAATTACCCGACTACGGGATGCAACGAAACAAAAAGGTAAACTCTTAGGCTTATACGCTCAACTTCAAGGTTTTGGAACCCCAGGCAAGCAGGCGTGCCCATTTGAAAGTCAGAAATTCTCTAATAATCAGACCATATGGGAAGGGTTCCAAAGGGTGTTTTAGAGCCTTCAACTGCTGCCCAGCAGCTCTCCTACATGGATCTTGACTCTCTAGATTGGAACTGCTCACTCAGGGAGTTCAAAGGGTTCCCAGGAGCTGTGGATGGCTAGTGCTGTGTTCTCCATTGGCTATCCCACTCACGATATCCTACAAATTTGCACACCTGCAATGCAGCAGCAACTAATGAGTGGCGTGCAATGAATTCATTTCTGTCGTTGTTTCGGATTAGCCGCCCGTGCGTGAGTAGGCCAGGGCCTCTCAACTGCCATCCGCCACCTCTGCGACCAACTATGACGACAGCGAAACACTCCAAAAAAACTTTCGCTCGTTCCCTTGCACTTCTAATTCGGAATCGCCTCCACAAATGTTGCCGCCGCAATCGCCCGAGCAGTCTCCCTCTCCCGTCCATTAGCCCCTTTCTCTGGAATCAATCACCTTTTTCCCCAAGTTCAATTCCGATTTTCTTACTGCAATGACGACCTTGAGCTGACATATCATTGGCAGATATCATCACTTTTTTCGCTCAATTTCTGTCTCAGTTCCAACAAAGCTCCGCCCTGCTCCCGTCGTTGTGGTGTTTCCTCCCAACAATCCCCGCTACACCCGCAGGTTTCCTTTATCTCCTCCAACTCCTTTGCTCCAATCGCTTCCATCTGGCTGCTATAATCATTCCGTTTATTGCTGCTACGATTTCGTTGTCCTACTGATCCCATCTGTTATCGATGGATTTCTTTTAAACTGATTTTTTTCAGATTTCACTTATTCACCCCAATTCTTTCATTAGACAACGATTGCCACCTACACTGCCAACGAGATGTATAAGAATCTCGGAGTAAGTGGTTTTCGCCTACACTCCCCCAGGCAAAGTAAAGTCTCCAACAATTTCAGTCAGCAGATGGGCACGAGGAATTGGACGAGATCAAAGCGACCTGTGAGCGGCATGCCGATCTGTGCCGACAATACGCCAAATGCAGTCTAGACCTTCAGATGAACGATGCCCAACTAGAAATTCTATCTGAAACCGCTGAAACGTTGCGACAACGTCATGCTCAGATCAGGAGGACCATCGACGAGAAGCCTCGTGAGTTTTGAAACCATTGAGAGACTGGATCAGAGTTGAGCCCTGAAGGGTCCTTTGGTACCCGATCAGGAACAAGCCCTGCAATACCGTTCCCGGTAGCGTCCTCCGTTTCGTTTGGGGAATGTGGCGAAGAAGG